ACACTACTTATTTTATCGATACTTTCAAATGGTTGATTGCGGAGAAATCGACTTCCTCTGCGCACCGTCCGGACAAACAGCAAGCCGTGAGTTGGCTAATTACGCACAATGACACATTTGCCGTATGTGCGCACAGGCCATTTATGTACGTGAAACGCCGAGGTGTTCCTCGGACTCGTATTCGTACTCGAAAATACAAGTACTCAGACTCGTACCGGTAAGTAGCAGTACTTGTGCTCGGAGACCTGTACTTGTACTCCGTTGGCAAAGTACTCTGACTTGAATGGTACTCGGCACTCTAAGTACTCGGCAGTACTTGGTACTCAGCAAAAAGTATACTCGACTACAACACTGCTACATAATATCAGCAACGGCGACGAAAAACTTACAGTGGTCGTGTACGTGTATAAAACGACGCACGATATGTTGGTTCTGATGGATTTTTAAGTAGAGCGCAAGTACAGACATGACTTCGTGACTTTTGATCAGTATGCATAATGCATGACACTTAGCGAGATCCGTCCAATCGCGCACTTTGCTGTGCGGTACCGAAAAAAAAATCATATAGTTAACCATATTTTGACACACTTTGCTAGAACGAAAAATGGTTGTACTACGCTAACCAATAATTATGTGGAACCGGAGCATGGTTCAAGGTAGCCTTTAGTCAAGTCCCACGCGCTTACCCGGACACGTGACGCACCCCGGATGCTGACACGTAAAAAGACTAGGACGAGCGGCGTAGCCGCGAGGGCCTTTTCCATCTCGTGGAGAATGCTTATGTTTTTCTTTACATTTTGTCTACCGATTTGGTAGACATGCATAATGCATTACCCGTTGTGAATTGACCAATGAAAATGCAGAATTACTAACGTAAATCATGCAGCCGTCGTCTGGCGCCAGACAGCCATGGCGCGCGTGCTGTTGCTGGTAACCGCAAACCACCGTTAGATGATTGGTTTATATTACTTGATTTATATTACGTGAATAAATGAATAAGTGATTAGTTCCACGAGATAGTAAAGGCCCTCGCGGCTTTGCCGCTCGTGCTAGTCTTTTTACGTGCCAGCATTCAGGGTGCGTTACGTGTCCGGATGGTCCGGGTATAGGCGCGTGGGACTTGACTAAAGGCTAGGTTCAAGGTTGCATAGCCGCGCGCATCATTAAGCACAACGGGGATTCAGGATTTTTTATCATCTTTTGACTATCACATTTAACATATATTACGTCCGACATTCCTGCAACAACTTCATACCAGTACACATTGTGTGGACGACACTGCCATTGGTCATGCGGCTAAGTCCTTCGAGCCCATTGAAAGAACTCTGCAAGCAGATCTCCAGTCTCTAAGCACCTTTGACTCCACATCTATCTATCTTTCAGTTACACTTGATCGCAGCCCTGCACCTTCTCTCACATATAAATAAATGGCTCATTATTTAGGGCATCATGGGCCATGGGGATTCTATAATTATCTTGGAATTTTGGTGTTTTTTGGGGGGGAGGGGGGTTGCATGGAAACCTATTTCTCCTGCCGTACTACTTCGAACATCTGCTCTCGCCCTAACTTTCGCAACAGCGAAGTATGCAGTATCAGCATGGAGCAACAACATTCACACATACAAAGTCAATTGATTCAAACTTAAACGATGCCATGCGGCTAATATCTGGTTTCATAAAACCCACGCCAACAGACAACTTTCCCATTCTCTCTGGTATTGCTCCAGCAAATATTCGCCGTGAATTCATGACTGCAAAATAAAACCGGCTCAGAAAAAGCCTTAATCCAGACAGCCTAGGGCGTTCTATCTTTGATACACAATCGGCATCAGTCGCGATCGCCAGTACTTCGCCTCAAAAGCATTTCGCATTATCACCACTCATCCTCTTTTCCTCATCATGGACCTTGAATTTGTGAAAGGAAGCCTGGTAAACATCGTCAACAAGACTCTGTAACTTCATTCAAACTTCATCTTCAGATCCACTGTCTGTGATCTTCCTCGTGAGGCCTGGGTCCTACTCAATCGACCTAGAACTGGTTGGGGACGTCGTGCCTCAGGGTGCACACCTGTAAATAGGCCTAAACCCATCCGCCGAGCTCATGAATAAAAGTTATACCCTCAAAATATCCTATATTAGAGAGTTCTGGAAGCCATTACATTGGGAAATTGAAGAGATATGGCAATAAACCTCTGGCTCGGACTCGGGGCTTCCGATTCTGAGCATTTTGGATACAATTGGGTTCGAAAGTGGCGCTATTTAGCCATGTTGTGGAGGGATCATTTTTCAAGATGGCTACCGTTCCGCTTTGGGGAAAATAGGGGTCGTCTTCTTTGGGCAAGAATTTCTCGAAAAGTCAACCGTCAACCCACCAAAACAATGAAAAAAAATTGAAAGATGACATGTCGATCATCATTTTTCTGTGCAGCTTAAATACCTGTGAGAGTTCTGCGTATTTTTAAAAGAATTTTGAGGTATGGGCATTTAGCACTAGTGGCTATGGAATTGTTTGCACTGTTGCACCCCTCACTCCTCCACAGTATCGGAGCCACCAGCTCAAATCTGTCACGGCAGACCAGTGGGACCACAAACAAGCAACCACATCATTCATGACTGTCCTGACTTAAGACCACCAAAAGACGAGCAGGGGCTCATAGACCTCGACGAGGGCACTATCAAATGGCTTGAAGTGAACACATTACCAGTCTAACTATCAGATGTTTAACTTGGTCCATACGGAAAAAGACTACAGGTGTTCGAACGTTGAAATTAGTGCGCAGGCGTAAGTGACGTCACAAGTCAACCACCACTGGACTAGTGATCCTCGCCCGAACGTGTCCATGGGAATAAGTAATAAGCCTCATACTTTTGCACTGACAATGTCCCCCTAATATTTTGCCCATTACATGTCCCTACACTCGAAGTCCAACTAGGAATGCCAGTGGAGCAACCATATATCAGTCTAGCCCTTCTGTGAGGTGTCAAGGCTTTAATTGCAATAACTTACAAATAGTATTGCACACATATCACACAAAGCACTGAAAATTGCAACGTTTGACATGCAGCTCTTCCGTATATAATTATGACACGATTGTCATCGTCTTTCCCTTGAGCACTGACCCGGCTGCACATATCTACATTCGAACCCAATGAATAAAACAACTGAATAGAACATCGGCCTTGTTCATTGGAAATGTGATGTCTCTATGTGGCACTTTTAAAATGAGGAACCGGACAATGTTCTTGAGTAGATATCGGCAACAAATTTATTCTGTATTGGCGAAGACAGGAAATGACAAGACAATCTTAGCTGGTCTTCGACAATGAGTGAATGACCTTTAAATATTTACAAAGCATTAATAAAACTAAACGAAAGGTAAATAAAGTGCTTATTACATTAACTTGACTACTTAATCATCGTTCTGGACAAAAAAATGATAACGATTTGTCTAAACAATTACTTCATTTTTCCCGCCAAAACTTTCGCGGGCTCCGCCATATTGGATTTTTTCCCGTTAACAAATCCAAGTTTCAAAACATCGTAAAATTAAATGAATGCATCATCTACACTATAACTAGATCTAGTGAATGGAAGTTTGACGTCAGTGCCAATGATTAAAGACTATGGATCCGCTAAGTTTTGGGCTTTAACTTTTAAGCCAATCTACTGGAATTAGAAAATACAACATTTACGACCTTTTAGGAAATAGAAATATTAATCACAAATAATGATGAAATACTAATACAAAAAGGAATACAAGAAATCGCAGTGTAATCTTAAACTATTTTTAAATTAAGATAAAATGGATTAAACGTTGTAACTACCTGTATTGCCGAAGACAGAAAATGACAAGAAAATGTTAGCAGGTCTTCGACAATGAGTGAATGACGCAGCAAGGAGAGCCCGAAACCTGACGTTGAGGGCGCTCAGCTAATTTGAATATAAATAGCCTAAAGAGTCAAACCCAATAGGAATAAACCAAAAAAATAGAGGGGGGGGGGGTATTTTTACACTCGTCACATCTATATAGCAGCAAAACGATCGATATGTATACTGGGGTTTGTCAAGTTTTGTCAAGGTTTGTCAAAGTTTGTCATTGACTGCAGCCTAACGTGGTACGTAGGCATGATTTCGTAACCTGCATCACAGGTAAAGTTCAGAATAATGGTACAATGTGTACGGTGCACTTCCCTAAAAGTCCTGAATCCTCTGATTTCAATACAATTTAGCACAAAAGTACAATTTGTGCAGTTGTTCTCTGTGGCGGTTTTGTCTCTTGAGTCTGCTACCCCGTCGGGCCAGCCCACGTCAGCGAGCGATCTAGCGGTTGAAAGCCGACGACGCCTATCCGTATTGGCGGCAGGTTACCGCCCGGTCTGCAGCACACCACCCGATTCAAGCCAGCCCAAACCCAAACCCGGCCCCAACACACCAAGACGGATGATGATAACGACAATAATAAAAGGGACGAACACAAATAACACAGAGCCAGTATCTTTCCTTTAATTTATTCTTTTAACACCCTGCGCGTCATTCCAAAGGCGCTTCCAGTATGGCTTTATAATTAATGATATACATGCATACTGTGATTCGGGTTTCGATTATTTGAGTTAATCAAGTTCATACTACGTATGAGGCTCTTTAACTGAACTTCAACTTACTTGTTAATCTGGACGTCTGCTCAGGACGATTGCCAAACGGAAAAAGAGGACGAATATTGCTGCGCTTGTTTTTTTTCTTTATAATCCATGTTAAGCTGGTACCCTCCAACTGTGTAGTGCACATAAGACGGCTAGAAACCACCCAATGCGTACCCTAGCAACTTAAGCACTCGGTTGTCGCATTAATCGATTTTACATTGCGCTACAACTCATTTGCACAAGTCAAAAGTTATACAGCTTATGTATAAAAGAATCTCCGACATTTTCAAGTATGGTGTACACTCTTTGATGCAGAATGTCGGTGTTTCTAAAAAAAAATAATAATCTTCCTGATTTTAAGGACATCTCCCGTTTTATCGAAGAAACCTTTTTCTTTTACATGACAGCAAGCCAGACGAAATAATTTCACAGGGGAGTCAGTGCTATAGTACGATCTTTAAAGTAGTAAGCTTTTGGATAATATTTCGGTTGGTTACATTTGCGATAAATACAAAATAATGATCCTATATGCCTCGAAATCAGAGAAGCTAACCCTTCCTTAAAACGTTCAAACTCATCCCTTGTGACTTACGACAACTAAGACGGTGCTTTCATCGAGTATAAACTCCCCAGCCGGACCCCTTTCTGAGCACTCGCTGCCCAAGAACCTCAGCAGCTCGTCCCGCAAATCCGGCGGTGCTTGCCGAACGAAGTCCTCTCTACGCGTCATAAAATCCAGCAGAGCTTGCCCGTCTTGTGAGAGCTGGTCATTGGGTTTGTCTAGACACATCGAGACATCTAGGTACGTCTTGACGACGTGCATCTTTGAGACGGGCATGTTGAGGTTCTTGCATGCGTTTTGAACTTCCGAAGATGAGATGAATAGTGGGCTGCTCTCCAACTTGGTTCGGAGATACCCCACCAGCTTTCCCCAACCAATTCCACCTGAATGGGAATAAAATAAATCACATACAAAACAATAAAGGTAATCGCTTGCATCATTTTGTATTTGTCAAGCACGGGTCATGTTTTTGCGCACAATCCTTCCGCAACGACTATTACATGAACTTTGATGCATAACTACATCAGTCCTTTTCTCTTTAAAAAATTATGACATTGTGGATCAAAGTCTTGCAACATTCAAATGCGGTGTTGTAGTACTCGTACCCGGTACTCGTACTCGAGTACTACTCGAGTATTTTTTGGGAGTACTCGTACTCGAACTCGAACTCGAATGTCAAAGTATTGTGGCGGGACTGTTCCCGAACCAAGTTATTCCTCGGACCAGGGACTACACAAAGCAGTCTAAAGGCTAAGGATGCAGGCTCGTTTTGGGTGGAAATCTACCGCCGCAGGAATTGATCCCTAAACCTTCTGTTAATTAGGCAATAACACAATAACAAGGACAACTGGCAACTGAATGGTCGGTAATCTCAAGTAACACGATGATTTATTTCAGAGACAACAATTAAACGATTCAATGATTTGGGAGTAATTGTCTTGGGTAGCTTTATTACAACCTGTGGTTTTCGAATATGAGCCCTATTTGCAATACACAACTAATATCGCACTGCTCACTCCAATAATCACTGCACAAACTAATGCTGCATTACAGGAATGCTATAGTAATGCACAACAAATGCTGCAATACATGAACACTCAAGCAATGCACAGACCAATGCTAGCTGCAATATAGAACACTATAGCAATGCACAGACCAATGCTGCAATACACGAACGCTATAGCAATGCACAGACCAATGCTGCAATGTAGAAATAATACAGCAACGCAACAACCAATGCTGCACTGCCTAAACAATATCGCATTGCATAGCTCAGTGCCACTGTGGAGATATGGTTTGTGCGCACGTAGCACTACGAAACCATGGGCCCAGCCCCAATCAACCACAATGCACCCACAAGTGTACGGCTAAACTGTCCAACAGTTCGCCCGCGCGTAGCTAGCATATAGCGCAAATCACCATATAGCAATACACGCCACAGCGAGAGCACACTCAACTCACGTTTGTACAGCTCGCTGCCACTTGCCAGAAACCCTCGCGCGTACGTACGTAGCAATCTACTTACGCGCATACATAGCACATGCACTAAACCATTATGATGCACTAAACATATGGGGCTTTGTTAACCAATCGCGAGCGTGCATACACGCACACCCTGACTGCTAAGCCACGCCCAGTCACGGGCGTACTATACTACAGTTCATTCATAAGATTAGAATACAATAACATGAACAAGGGCATACAACTACACTTTCCGTCACATGGGCCCGACCAATGGCAGAGATTGTCCCCAACTCTAAGCCATAAATAAAAATAAAAGGAAAGTGTGACTAAATCTTAACTTCTTCTTTAAATTACAATATACAACATAAGGGGAGGCTGATTTCAAAGCTCATTAAGTATTCACAAGCTCTTTTACACCGGATAAGGGCACTTGCCTTACATGTACTCTACATGTACAGGAACACCAAAGTTTGCTGCTAATTAAATATTCACAATATTTAACAGGGAATTATCGCACAGAATCTGAATCACATTTTTGCTCATTAAATATTCACAAGAAATTTAAGGAAAATTATACTCGTCTGGCTCAAATTTTAGTTCATTAAATATTCACAAGAAATTAAGGGGAAAATTTGAACCGATTTTAAGGGCAGAAATTTAAGGATAATCTTAGACTGATGAAATGTACACTAAATTTGATGGCAAGATTTTCGCTAATCGAAATTTACATGATTTAACTGGGATAAATTTTACAGATTTTAAACAACGGATTTGTCAATTTTTTATATTTACACAATTTGTTTTTACGAGGAATCACCCAGTGCAGAAATAAGGCGTTTTACAAGATCTACGAAATCGTTAATTAGATTTCTGTTTTATATAAAATAAAGATTTCTTTATACATCAAAATTCACATCAGCAGATTTTGTAAGATTTTCTATATGATTTCAAGACTGATTCTATTATTATTATTTTTTTCTCTCTCTTTTTTTTACCGACAATAAACCTTAACTTTATAAAAAATTTTGGAAAACTTTGAACTGTTCAACACTTTAAGAAAGGAAACCTTAAGAAAACTTGGTTAATCAGAATAATGAAACAAAAACCTAAACTGGAACGCGTCATCCTGTTTATTTCCCTGTTGGCTTTCCCTCATCATCTACCTCAATCTGCTTCATGTAGACGCTATTATGCTCATCCGTCTTGACCACTTTCCCATCGAGAAAAACCTGCATGTAGGTGTACTCTCGGACGGTAGCTGTGCGCATTCTCTTCTTCGGAGGATCCTCCCTTTTCTGAGTGGGGAACATCTCCTCTTCCTCCTGGGATGAAGACTGTGATGCTGAGGATGGGGACGTGGCCTCGGCCGCTCTCACCATCTGCATCATCCCCTTCGGCTTGCCTCCCAAGGGGCGAAAAGGGGGGACAACCAACTTTGGCGAGGTTGACACTTTCGGGGATTCTTGGATTGGTGAGGCTGACAGGGACAATGCATCGACGACTGGCGTGACCCCACTTGGCACTGCTGCCGGTGGCAACCCAGCACTGGAGGACGTACCCGGACCTGCTGCACGGCTCTCTGCGACCTGTGTCACCGTACTGACGCTCCAAGACTCTGGTGCCTGGGAAGGACCAGCTGCACCCTTCACCACACCAATTTTGTGTACCGTCTCCATGTGATGCTGGATGATATACACCTGACCTGCAACGTAATCGCACCTGCTACACATCAAGGTGTTCGTCGACGACCCATGGATGTCTCTGATATGGCGCCATAAGCTTGCCCGGTGCAGGTACCAACTGGTACACTCACGGCACTTGTATCGCCTCGGCTCACCCTTCGTCATGCTGAGACTCAATTTTCTTCAACTCCTGAAAAACACAAAGGAAAGAAGAATTCAAAATATATACACCACAACTTAGTTTCGACCTCACCCCGAAAACAATTATGGAATCAAAGCCACACCTACTATCTTAGCGAAACCGCAGAGGTAACCTATGTGACCGCTTAGGATACCGCCTGGGCGGTGACATGTCTTGCCTCCCGGGCAGACTGACTCTACTGTCTGGAACTGGTTCCTCTGTAATGGCCTCATCCACCACAGGGTACTCATCTACCAACTCCGCAACTGAACCTTGGTCATACTGACCCTCCGTCACCATGGGGAGGTTTTCTGTCACCTCGTCCCTTGATGGACAATCCCAAGATTCGATGGCCTCACCGACATATGGTTTGAGTCGGTCCACATGGACAACCTTTGGTTTGCTACCACGCTTAAGCTGGATTCGAACCGTCACATCTGACAACCTCTTAAGAATCATCCATGGTCCTTCCAACCTAAGTTGTAATTTGGGGGACATGTGTTTTTTCTTTGCAGGGTTGTGCAGCCACACAAATTGGCCCTCCTTCAACCCATGCTCAGATGCTCTCCTGTCAAAGTTCTTCTTTTGCCTCCGGGCACTTTTCCCGAGGCACTCCCTGGCCCTTTTATGGGCCTCCTGCATATCACTTCGCAACCTTTCGGCGAAGTCTGCAGTCACCTCCTCCTCAACCTCAGGACACCCTGTCACCAGATCCACTGCGACATTCACCTCTCTCCCCAACATCATCATGTTGGGGGATTCCCCAATCGAGTCTTGCGGCGTGCACCTGTAAGCGAAGGTGGCAAAGGGGAGGAACTCATCCCAGTCTTTCTGCCTTCGCCCAGGGTCAATCAGCACCGCCACGATGTTGACCAAGGTTTTATTAAACCTCTCAACCATGCCGTCCGATTTCGGATTATAGGCGGTCGTCCGAGTCTTCGATATGCCGAGGATTCGGCACATTTTACTGAACACCTCTGACTCAAAGTTTGTGCCCTAATAAGAGTGAAGTTCTTGGGGCACCCCAAATCGACAGACAAACTCAGTCACCAATGTGTGCGCTACTGTAACTGCAGTAGCATCAGGAAGCGGAAATGCTTCCATCCACTTAGTGCAGTAGTCGCCAACCACCATCACCCAACGATTACCATTGTCCATGACGGGCAATGGCCCGAGCAAGTCTATTGCTACTCGCTCCATCGGAAAACCAACTCGAGACTGCTGTAGGGGCGCAACCCTCTTCTTTGCAGCCGACTTTCTCCTGGCACAGATACTGCAGCCCCGGAGAAATGACCGCACGTCCGCAGACATGCCTGGCCAGAAGTACCTGGCTTTGACTTTGGCCAGAGTTTTGCTAACCCCCAAGTGACCACTAAGTTGCCCACCGTGCAACTCGGACATAATTTCCTTCCGGAACTTTGTGGCAACACCAACAGCCATCGGATGGACTTCCCGTCATCGGAGTCCCATCGCCTATGTAGAACTCCTTCCCGGACCTCTAACTGGTCCCACTGTGACCAATAGGTCTTACAGGCTGCCGACAAGTGCGAGACCGTCTTCCACTCAGGACGACTATCGCCGTCCTCCTTCAACTTCATGAGCCAGCTCATGGTGTCATCCTGTGGCTGTGCTTCCTTTAAAGCACTTCGAGACAGGGCTGGTTGGGCAGCTACGCCCCTAACCAAAAACTCACTCCCCTGAGGCTGAACCTCGGGTACTACACCAATTGCCTCGTTGACCACCTCCTCCCGGCCGCACTGTTTGCATTGCCGCCTCGACAATCCATCAGCATTACCATGCTTCTTGCCGCTTCTGTGCTCAACCACTAAGTCGTACTGGGACAGGACTTCCATCCACCTCGCCAGCTGACCCTCGGGGTTCTTGAAATTAAGTACCCACCGCAATGCGGCATGGTCAGTTCTGACCGTCACCCTGCGGCCGTACAAGTATTGTTTGAAATACCTCAAGTACACAACCACAGCCAACAACTCTTTACGAGTGACACAGTAATTTCGCTCAGGTTTGCTGAGCTTCCGGCTCGCATACGCAAGCACTT